GGGGTTTGGGGGGGGGGGGGGGGGGGGGGGGGGGGGGTCCCACACCAAAGTACATGACAATTTCACGAGAAATTTCGTGTCAGAAGGCCACGAGGACGCGATATCGCGCGTCCGGTGTACCCACCACGAGACACGTCATCAAGCAACGCCACCAAGAACTCAGGGAGGCAGCGCCACCAGCAGACGCTTCATCTCTTCACCGATTCATCTAGGCGAACTTGGTTTAACGTCTCGGCGATGAGTGCTATTGTAGCACGCAAGGGCGGACGATCGTCGCTACGTAGAATTAGCGTCCACACACACAGACTCCCATTCAAACGGCTCACTCTGCGGGAGTCGATGCCGGCGACGCCATGTTCCTTGAAGAACTTCAGGAACGGCACGGGCTGGACGTCGCATGATGTCGCGTCACGTCATGTCACGTCACAGCACAGCACAGCACACGCCCGTGTCGTCGTGCGGCGTCAGCGAAGAACAACGAGCACCAAGCCGCAAGCATCAGGACCGGGGTAGTCGCAAAGCATCACGACCAGCGTAGAAAAGCACAACACGCGCGAAGGAAAGAGAAGAGGGCAAGAACAACGCCGAGAACAGGGCAAGAACAACGCCGAGAACAAGGCGGGGGGAGAGAAAGAAACGGAAGCAGGAAAGGGGGGGGGGGGGGCGACGCAAGAATAACGTACAGTAAGGACGCGGGGAAATGTAATGGGGGTACGAGTGAGCAATGTCTTGTTCAGTAAGGAGGGCGGACCTGTTTTTGCTTCTTTGAAAGGCGGCACCGCAAGCGGTTGATTCGTGGAGGGGGGGAGGGTAGCACTATCACCACAACTAGCGGCAGAAGTAATCGATCGATTCCCTATCTTTGCAGACAGCAACCAGTGCGCACCATACGTGCAAGGAGACGGAAGATTCGTCAAGATACCATTCCCAAACGCAAGCACGCGCGTATACAGCTTGTTCACGCTACCTGTCGAGAGGGACGACAAGAGCAATCGAACCATCTCCGACCGTGCTGTAGATTGGGTCGTACATTGCTTGTCATGACGGAAATAACTGATATTTTTTTGCTTGGAATGTCTCGAGTTTCGGGAATTAGACGAGGCATGCTCAAAACAGACATCAGAATGGGGAGTCCAAAACACCTCAACAAGTGGCTATCAACCAGCCGGTATCATGATTCTGGTCCATCGGGTGGTATCGTGTGCCAGAGCCAGTCCTATCGCAAGGGCGTTGGAGAGCTCTGTATACCGCATGCATACAAAAAAAAGCCAGCTATACTCGCGCTCCAGGAAAGACTGCACGACTTGCGTCCTGTCGCCAAGAAAGGAGACATCCTCGTGTACTCTCCAGGTCTGCACCAAGGCACAGGTTTTCATTTGTGCATCAATGTCCGCTCCCCGCTTACCAGTCCCTTTACATTTGCCACACATCTCGACTACTTCCTGACATTGACATGACCCACGCACCTGGAAGACGAGACGGGCATTCTCGAGGTTGCCGTTCAGGAGCAGCTCGTCTACCGCGAGGGCCGTGAGGGTCTTGATCGCGTCGTCCCCCGCGGCCTGTGCACGCGTCGAACGACGCAGCGAAGAGAGGGAGAGAAAAGGCGAGAGAGAGGGGGGGGGGGGGGGGGGGAAAAAAAAAAAAAGAGGGGAAAAAAAAAAAAAGGGGAAGGAAAAAAGAAAGGAAAGGGAAAAAAAAAAAGGGAAAAAAAAAAAAAAAAAAAGAAAG